CATTCCATGTATATTATATATATTCCATATATAATATATATTCCACATATATTATCTACATTCCATATGTATTATATAATCCATATATTATATATATTATATATTCCACATATATATATTCCCCCTCATGATAACAGTATCCCTATGATTTTAAAAATGATTAGAATCATACCTCACAGAATATACCAGAATAAATTTGAAACGGGTTGAGTATCTAAAAGCAGTGAATCCAGTAACAACAAAAGAAAACATGAAAGAAATCCTTTAAAATTAAGACTTGGAAATAAGTGCTGGTTAAATAAATTAAGATTCCTTCATAATTTGGAATAATCTGCAACTGAGAAATTAGTGAGAATATATAAAGATCTCTAAGATATAAGTAAAGAACTTTAGGTGCAGAAAAGTGTGTTTATAATGCTAGCATTTGAGTGTCATCTTTATGATTGTATTGCACAGAAAGATAAACTAGAACTTTGTAACTAGCACGTGTGGAGTACAGGTAGATTTGTGGAACCAGTAATGGAGTACAGGGTAGGAAAGACAATTTTGCTGTATTTTTAGTACAACTTTTTTGTTTGGTTGGTGTTTTTGTTGTCTTTTCTTTGTCTTTTTTTTTTTTTCTTTTTGAGACAGGGTTTCACTATGCAGTTTAGGCTGGCCTTGAATTCACTTTGTAGCCCAGGCTGGTCTTGAACTTACAGCAATCCTCTGCCTCAGCCTCTCAAGTGCTAGGAGTAAATATAATTTGTTTTATAATTTGTTTTAAATATACAAATAAATTATCTATTTAAGAAAAGACAAAGAAAGAAAACAGACCCATACCTACTAAAATGACCATGTTGTGTCAAGTGACAAAAATAAGTTACAAATGACATGTGCACAACTTTTTTGTAAAAAGTGTGTCTGTGTGGAGGGAGGTGCTGTGCCTATTTATGGGCCTAAAGAAAGACATAAAGGCATTTACGTGAAATTTTAACATTAGTTACTTAAGGGTTTAGAGGGGTTTTTTAACCCTTCATAAGTCTTGGGCTATTTTAATTATTAAAACTTATAAATACTGCTTTTGATTTTTTTAATGGAATGGTCAAAATTTTTTTCAATAAATTAAAACATTTTGTGATTGTTTTACCATAACTAAAAATGAAATTTGTAGGAAATATAAAGAAGTGCAAACACTGTACACTTTCTTTTATAGGTCGTGTCGATATGGGTGTATGATCCAGAATACGCAGATTCTGAGGAGCTGCTGTGGAAGGCAGAGACACCCTCACCAGTAGGCAGAGACATCATTGTTATAACGAAATAATAGGCTTCCTTTCTATTTTAAGGACTGGGAATAGAGTATGATTAGTTGATAGGATTTGAAGCTGCTCAGAGCTAAATAAATACATTTATATTATCCACTTGAATTCAAGTTAGCCATTTTAGCAGATTTTGAATTTGTACTCCATCTCTACAGTTGCAAACTTTCCTGTAGAATTCTTATTGACCATTCTTCATATTTTCTATAAATCTCATTATTTCTCAAATTATTCTCTATAAATTATTTCTCTATAAATCTCAAAGCACCCATTAAGGTGCTTTAAAGGCATTTCTTGAGCATCTATGTTGAAGCTATGCTTTGAAAATCTGTCTAATCCCTATTGCACACTTTAACACTTGAAGAGGAATGAATTTCCTAAAGAGATAACAGTAAATAAATAAGTACTTTCTTTTATCTGTCACAAGTTTACCTCTTTCAAAATGTAAGTTCTGCCTTCCATTACAATTAAGAATACTGATGAAAAGTAAAAAATTGCAACTGCCATGGCACAATTGAACTTTGAAAGATGCATTTTGTTTCCTTAGAAATGGCTTCTCCAGAATTCCTCAGGCATAGCCACCATGACCCCTGTCAGCCTAGTTAATATGCAGGTGTTGGCAAAATCCAGTTTTATTTCCTCAGACAGGGAAATAAAGGGAGGGAGATGGTGGTCCAAAAAGGGATAAAACAAGCCTGGACACATCTATTGTTGCATTAACCTCTTTCTCTTTGTTCCTTGCTATAAAAGACCCTAACACGCCTGTACATGGTGAGATAGTGATTTGGGTAATAAGACTCCCCCATATCCTTAGAGCTAGCTTTGAATAAATTCTTTCCCCTCTTTTTTTTAAACCAAAATAAATGGCTTCACTTGATTTAGTCAGGAGTGAACAAACCTGAATGTGTGCAGCTAAGTGGCTGGTAACAAAATGAGCAGTTAGGGATTGGTTTCTCATGGGACTCTTGCTACCTTAATACATCAAGATCTGTCTGATTTTTTCACAGCGTGTTTTCCTGGCTTGTAGTAATCAAAGGCACAAGATGTGCATGGAGAAATCAGAATGACAAGCAGTCAGTTGTTTTATTTGACAATCAACTTTAAAGGAAATAAAATAAATTAATGATAATAATTCATTTCCAATCTTTTTATGTGAAAATATACACATTTTAACATTATTTAGCATGCCTTCCTAATAGCTGGCTGTTTTCCCCATCTCCATGTTTATCTGTGATTATGTCATTTCTTTAGAACCTTTCCAAGGCTCTCCATTACAAGCAGTGTTAATTCTTGGTCTCTAACACGGTGTGCAAAACCCTCGGTACCTGTCTTTGCCGCTCTTCCCTGGCCTCAGTTCTCTCCATCTTCCTCTAGCAGCTGGACCCTGCTCCCTCCCGGTACACACTTCCTGCCTGCGGTGTGCACGTATTCCTTCCACAACCACTGCCCATTCCCCCTTCTTGTCTCGGTGTCCAAGTGCTTCCAAGATGCTTGTCAAGACCAAAGGAGGACTTTTTTCACACGCGCATTTTGAAAGGGGTATTTTGATCCTGCTGTTTTGATCAATCAATAGCTATGGTAAAATGTAAAAATCGTCTGTTTACACACGCGCGCGCGCATGCGCATGAGTGTGCGCGCCAGACACTGGACTCCAAGTTCAGTCCCGGATTCATCACTCTTCATTCTTTTCTTTAGCCATGTCTGACTTTAACCACAAAGTAATCCCTTGTCTTTAACTCATTCTCATGTTTGTTTCTATCTTTGAATCTCAACCCATTCTTATCTCTCCTCCCATTAACCTCCTCTCTCTGTACAGTGAAGTAAGATTTTTTTTGGTGAATGTTTGTATGTGTTTACATTTTTTCTGCTTCCACTTCAGTTTTCTCTATATTCACTTGTAATGTGTGACTTGTAAATACCATAAAATTGAATTTTTGTTTTTGTTTTATTTTTTCATCTTGACTGGCGCGAGATGTGTTTAATTAGTCTCTGTGGAAAATGTAACAAGGAAGGAAGGAAATCTAATTTATCTGGTTGTTGTCTTTTTCTTTTTGTGGCACTGGGGATTGAACCCAGGGCCTTGCCCATTGTAGGTAAGTGCTCTCCACTGAACTGTACCCCCTACTCCCTGGAAATCTAGTTTTAAAACTATCACTACTATAAACTACTGAAGCTGAATCTCACTGAGGAGCCAGCCAGAATATGTCTTTAAGTTTTCCTGCAAAGGAAATGTGTGGCAGAGTTAGCTTCACAGAGAACAGAAAGGCTTCCAGTCCTCACTGGTCAAAGATTTCCCTAGCTTGTTAACCCCCTGTAATGGTTTATGTCTAGATGCCTCGCTCAAAGCCTCATTGGGTCATAGGTGGTGTTTTAGGAAGTGGCTGGATCATATCTGTGTGATACTGGATTATGAGTGCATGGTAACTGAATTAGTCCACTGATTGATTTAGCATATTTCTTGGTGTGGATAGTGGGAAGGCCCACCATGGATGTGGGTGGCACCAGCAAATGGGCTATTAGCCTGAACAGAATAAAGAGGGAAAGGAAGGCCCACTGCTGGCCGCTTCCTGCTTGCCTTGCCATGAGCGATTTCTCCTCTGCCATGCCCTTCTGCCATGCTGCCCTGCTCTGGAGCCAACCAACTACAGACTGAAACCTCTATAGACTGTAAGCTAAAATAAACCTTTTCTCCTTTAACTTGTGAGTGTCAGGCATTTTGTCCCAGCAATAAGAAAGTAAGACACCTACCTCCCCTGCACTTCCAGATCGTATACATATAGAGTACATAGCCAGTTTCCACAAGCAGCTCAAGACTCAGTGATAAACATGCCACTCCTGACAAAAAGAGACTCAGGGCACTACGGTTGATGAAAGACACTATGAGGCCAGGGAGGTGTGAAATGTGCTGCCAAAGCACTGGCTAAATTAAAAAGGGAGCGTAGGTTCTGGCAGCGAGGGAGCCTAAAGCGGGAGGATCAAAAGTTTGAGTTCTGCTAGGACAGGTTGGCAAGACCCTGTCTCAGTCAAGTTGGAGGTGTGGTAAATATCATGGATGTCTCTGTCTTCCCTCCACAGGTTGTCCTTGCCACTGGCCCATGTGCCATTCTTGCCTCTCTGACTGCAGATGTCTGTCCATTTCTGCTCCATGTAATTGTTGCAAAACTGATATCCCCTTCCTTTTGCCATTCTCAGCTAAGAGTTCTGGTTGATGCCATGCTGCCCTGCTCTGGAGGCAGCCCACCAACAGTTGAGGTTAGTGTGTAAGTGTTCCACGTACAGCACTCCCCCCGTATGTGAGAGGACTAGGTGCCTCATCATCATCATCATCGGTACTAGTGGGGAAAATTTCTTTCCCTGGTGTCCTGTTTGCACGGGAGAGCGCCCTACCGGTCCTGGAGCCCCACCAGCCAGTCCTGGAGGTGGGTGCCTGGTGTGTGGCAATTAAATGCCATCCAATTTTGTTTTCAGTTTCGTTGAGTTCTCAGGTTAGAAATGTCTTGTATCACTGCACCCAGTGGAGCGATAGTGTGACTGTGAGTCTATATTCACCCTCCCAGGCCCCCACTGAAGGGCTGGCATGCTCCCGCCCTCAGTCATTTCCCAATCGTGAGTAGGGTCGGTCTGGGGTGGGGCGTGGGACACAGTGATGCAGGAGTGGTCGTTTCCCTTCACGCATCCTCTATTCACTGGGCATTGGTCCGGTTGGATTATCCTTTTATTTATCCTCCCATCTCAGACTTGATATTTCACTGCCTTGGGGTAACTGCTTGTCTTCAGTGCAGATTCAGAGACACTCGCCTACCTGTTGCCCCTCAGTCAGCCATCATTATCGGTTCTTCCATATTTTCTATATTTTTAAAATTATCTTTGATGACCATGAATCACCTTCTTAATGGAAAAAGTGTGCTTTGAAGCTTGCTTACATGATTATCTTAACTCTTTAAAAAACTTTTTTCTATAATTTGTTACATTTTATTTTTATCTTATTCTCTGCTATATTAAGAGGGCCTTTATACTTACAGGAAAGCGATTTGTACTTAAAAGTCTAAAAAGTGAATATAGTTTTCAGAAACAATATTACAGTATCTATAATTTATTAAGAATTAGGCAAACCTGTATTTCATTAAATATATATCCCTTAGGGAGGCTTTCCTGACCAGTGTTCCTTACTCTAAATAGGTTAGGGTCTCCTATTAGGCAGTCCCACATCCCCCAGAACTATACCCTTTTCGCCATGCATCCCTGTACTCTAAGAGTCTTCTCTGTGGGTAGTTGACATACATATTGCTCTGGAATTAAACAAGAGCAATGTTGGAAAACTCAGACAGAAGGAAGATATGGAATTCTAGACTGTCTCTTATTATCTGAGTGTTTATTCAAAGCATTCCCTATTATAAAACAATTGCCTCTATTCAAAAATACAATCTTAGTTACTTTCTTATTGCTGAGACACAATACCCAACATTCACAACTTAAAGGAAGAAAGTTTTATCTTGCCTCATAGTCTGTAGAGGTTCCAGTCCGTAGTCGGCAAGCTCCAAGGTAGGGTGGCATGGTATGGAAGGCAGGCAGGAGAAGCCATCAAGGTAGGAGGTATATATATCCTTTCAGGCCATGCCCACAGTGACCCACTCTTTCCACCAGGCTTCACTCCCCAACATCTCATCCAGTTATCAACTCATTAGTGGACTAATTCAGTATCACATACCCCCGAACCAGTATCACACACCCATGATGTAGTCACCTCCAAAAAGCCCCACCTATTAGCCCATGAGGCATTGGGGGGACATCTAGATATAAGCCATAACATATACCTTTGTAGGAAAAATCCAGGTCTATTCAACTTTTACTGATGTCCCAAGAAGAAGAGGAAATATCTGAATGCAGGAAACCAACTTAATAGGAATGCCTAACTGGAGGGGGCTAATGGAAATTAAAAGACAAGACACAGAGATAGTTTTGAAAGAGGGGCCTGGGGCTCCTACCTCTACTGAACAAAGAGCCCTGAGCATGTGGCTCACCTCACTTTTATTCAACTTATGCAAGGGGGCAAGAAGTTAGGTTAATGAAAACTCACCTGTTTCTCATTATTTGCAAAGTGTACCCAGGAAAGTATTTCTCTACACGACACCTCAGCTGTTGTTGACTTCTTCTCTGGAAGTTGCAATAGGCCAGACTGTGTCCACAGGAAAGGTCAACTGGGTCCTTATGATGAGTTTCTCACATCTGAATTCTAAGAAACTTTTTTCTTCGCTCCTCCAGGTAGCACATGAAAATTCCCTTGAAAAATATATCTTCTTTTGAAGACAAGGATTCTATAGAAACAATTCCAATAGATTGTCTTTACAAACTTTAGTAGGTATTTTATTGAGATTAAAACTTAGGGTTGTGTATTTAAATATCCCCATAGTTGCAGTTCATATAGGATTCTGATCACACATGGTGTTTTGACACATTGGAAACTGTGACTTACTTATAATTCACAAAGTTCTAATGAGGAGGAGGTTAGATAGTTTTAAAATGACTAAATCTTAAAAGTATGGCAAATTTGTAAATGTAAACAGTGTCTTAATGATCTAATTTCTGAATACTTTTGACTTTGAAAAGAATAACAAGAGAAATTTCATTTTATTTTTACAGCATTCCAGAGTACTAACCAACCATTTCGCCATTGTGGGACAGAAGCCTATCATATATACAACAATTAGAAGGAAAATTTATGTTCCAGATGACAAGCTGATAAACTGGTACTTGATTTCAAAAGTTTACATATAAAATTCAGCTTTAACATTTAAAAAATCAGAATGTTAAAATAGGTTATAGAACTCTAGTGGAATTTTATTGAACATGTCTTTTCTGTAATTTCCAAGGAACTTCTTTTATGATACAAAAAATTACCAACTCAGAAAATGCTAGCCACTTCTAGCATAGTTTCACACCTTGTTGTAAAACTTAAATCTCAATCCGAAAGCGTCATTCAGTGTGGTGGCAAATCCTGGCAATATCTCCAAAGGTTTTCTGCTGGCTCATGACAGTGAGCCACTCCGGTAATGGATGCTGCAATACACACACACACACACACACACACACACACACACACACACACACAATTTTACCTGAGAAGTAACAGTGATACTGTTAAAATTGGTAAATTACCATGAGGTGCAAATAGACCTTCTTAACCTATTGAGCATGTAGGCCTGGGGCAAGGTGCTTACAACTAAAAAGGATGCAATTGTTTTCTTAAATGACATTTCAGTTGTCTTAGTTACTTTCTTGTTGCTGGGACAAAATACCCAACACCAATGAGTTGAAGGAGGAGAGGTTTATTTTAGCTCATAGTTTGTAGAGGTTTTAGTCCAAAGTCAGCTGTTTCCAAGGCAGAGCAGCGCAGCAGAGGAGAGGAGAAACAGCTCATTGCATGGCAGGTAGGAAGCTGTGAGACTTTCTTCTTTTTCCCTTTTTATTCCGTCCAGGCTACAAGCCCATTGGTTGTGCCACCAACATCCAGGGTGTGTCTTCCTTCTTCAGTAAATCTGTCATCCACACCCAGAACTATGTTAAACCAATCAGCAGACTTATCCAGTATCACACATCCATGATTGCTCCCAAAAGCCCTACCTATGAGCCATGAGGCTTGGGGGTAACATCTAGATATAAGCCATAACAGCAGTTAATACGGACTTGCAGGGACACTGCAGCGAGCTCAAAGCCTGGGGCTGGGCTCTTCAGTCTCCAGCGTACAGACACCCTCTGCGTGCCTGCACTCTCTGCACGCTTCCTCATCCAACTCTGTAGCTGACCATTGTAAGCCAAACTTGTAATTCCTTGTACATTTGTTTATCTTGTATTATATCTGTTCCTCTAGTAAACCCTGACTGATACATGGATGTTAGATGATCACTAGGATTTTAACCTAGGTTCCATCTCACAGTGAGACCAGTGGGTTTCTGAACCCATCCTGTGGTTCTTTCTTTAGTTTCAGGATGAATAATTGGAGTGATACTTAGCAACTCATGGAATCCTCCTACTGGTTCCCTGACATGTGAAATGAGGGTCACATGGAAGACGTTAGAACTGCTTCTAATGAGGAAAATAGTAAATCAAAAGCAATATTGCATTTCTGGAGATATTTCAAAGACTAGTGTCCCCATCAAAGTCTTAGAAGATGTAGGGATGGAAGGTGATTCCCAATACATGTCCATTCAACTTACTTTTTTTTTTTACCTGTGCAGAAGACAGGTGAATTTTAAAGAATGATAGTGGAATGTCATTGGCTTTACCAAATGATGACTCCAGTTGTAGCTGCTATATAAGATATATTATCACATGAGCAACTTAACATATCCCTCCATGGTATGCAGCTCTGGCTAAAGTCTTTCTTCCACCTCTGTCCATAACACCTAACAGAAGCAGTTTGCTTCTATGATGTAAAGCCAGCAATATACCTATATAGTCCTATTTCAGCCATATACCAACCTTTCAGCCCTATGTCATAATTGAGTTCTCAGGGATCTTGATTACCTTTCATTTCTGCAAGATATTACACTGATTCACTATATCTGAGGACATTCTGATTGCACCTAGTGGACAAGAAGTAGCAGCAACCCTAGTCTTATTGGTAAAATATATATTATATTAAAAAATATTTTAAAAGTATATTTTAAAATGTGAAACAAAAAGTATATTAAAAATGTACTTATATTAAAAGTATATTTAAAAAGTATATTAAAAATGTGAAACAAAAAGTATACTAAAAAATGTGAAACAAATCCACCTAAAATTCAGGGACCATCTAACTTAGTGAACTTTCCAAGGGGCCAGTGGTATGGACCATGTTAAAATATGACTTCTAAGAGAAAGATTAAGTTGCATCTGATCCTTCTCACATTCAAATTGAGGCACAATGCCTAATGCGACTCTTTGGATTCTGGATGTATACCTTAAGGCCATTTGTCAGGTGACCTGAAAAACTGCTAGTTTTGTGTGGAGCCCAGGACAAGAGAAGGCTCTTCTGTGGGTCCAGGCTGCTATGCAAGCTGCCTTGCCACTCAGGCCGCATGATCCAGCAGGTCTGATAGTGGCAGGTAGGGATGCTGTTTGCAGACTTTTGCAGCCCCTATAGGCGTACCACAGTGCAAGCCTTGTGAAATTTGGAGTAGTGAGTCTCTGTAGAGACCCAATTCTTGACCTTGGACCACCAAGTTACTGTGGAACCCAAGCTGTCCATTATGAACTGAGTGTTACCTGTCTCAGCCATAAATCAATCACTCACAGCATAAGAACATTCTATCATCACATGGAAATGTTTTTTATGTGTGTGTGGGGGTGGGGGGGCTAACAGGCCCCAGAGGCATTAGTAAGTTACGTGAAGAAGTGCTCCAAATGCTCATGATCCCCAGTCTTTTTACAGTCCCGTACTTTCTCTCTCCCAGCCATCACCTGTGGTATCGTGGGGAATTCTGTATGTTCAGTTGATATAGGAAAAGAACACTGGGTATTATTTTATTTGTTTTATTCAGACCTATGTTGATAAAAATAAGTTTTTCTGAAAGATAATAAGCTTTGAAAGATGGATCAAGGAGAGAGAGAGTATTTTATTCTTTGTTGTCTCTTCTTAGGACCTGGCGTGTTACTCTTCCAATGACCAGAGATGATGTGATAAAGAATATCAAAGGAAGCCAAGTGATTTTTCAAGATTGCTTCATTTCAGATTTTACTTTCTTACTGACTTTTCCTGTTTACCTCCAACCTGAGGTTCCTGGGTTTTTACCGATCTCTTCACCAGCTGGTAGTCAGTTAATGCTGTCCTGGGATGCCTGTTTCCCTTCTTTAGCTGTGGTGGTGGCGGACATGGAGACCTTTCAGACAAACGATTCATTCTGCACTTGGTCCAGAGTCAGGGTGCCTCCGAACATCCTGAGCGACGCTGCAAGGCACAGTGTGTCTGCTGTGCTCCTGTTGCATGACAATATATATTTTCTAATAAATGGTGTTCTTTACCTAAAAGATATCAAAAAACTGACAAAACTAGGAAGAACAAATCATCTTCCAGAGGGTGAAATTATTGGCATTACATCAAGAAGATGGTGTTGGATCAAATACATAGTCAAGGTAAGTGAAAGATTCCATATACTCATGCTGTGTATTTAGGGATATATCGCAGACTAGACTATGAAGCATTTTGCATAGTTATTTTATATAAGGCTATAAAAACCCCTCTGTATGCTCTCCAAAATGGTCCAAATCTCCCATTTAGGACAAAACACTGCCAAACACTTAAAATACTGCACAACAATTTTGAGTATTTTTTAAATTACGTTGTCGGACTAATAGAGAAGTAAGAGAAATCCTGGGAGGAAAAAGAGGGCTCCTAGCACTAATCAGAAGAAGCAAACTCCACAGTGTCAGGTGCTCTTGGGGCTGAGCCTGTCATCATACAGGGCCCACGGAGGTCCCTCCACAGAGGAAATGGAGACATCGACTCACGCCCACCCATGGCATAGCTGTAGGTTCACTGACCGCCAGCACAGAAAATAATCTCAGGAAATATCGAGTGGCACGGAAAGGTTTACTCGGCAGACAGAAGTGCACTCGCAGAGGACAGTGAGACATATTCTGGTCCGGGGTTGGGGATTTTATGTGGTGTTGAGGGCAACCTCAAAAGGGGTGATCTGTATTTCTACTGTTTACCCAGTTGGTGAGCTATAGTAGAATGCAAACCATTTGAAGTTTAGAGATATTTTTCCTACCTAATAGTGCTGCTTCCTCAAGGAGAGAACTCTGTCAGAGGAAAAGTTCAGGCTCAGTTTGCAGGTGAAAAGCAGGAACCAAATTTAGAGACTTGTCCTATCTTTAAAACCCTTAGGATACTGGAAGGGAAGTAAGTTTTCTGGAAGGGAAAACGACATTACAAACTTGGGAAACTTTGTGTCCTGAAGCTGTGGTTTTACTTAAAAGTACAATATTAAAATTATAATTCCCCTAGTCTCCTTTCTGTCTATCTTTATGTCTTCCATTCTATGTCCAGCCCAGATAATCAGAACTCAGGTACCAGGAGACAGAGTCTTAGGCCCGAGCAAAGTAGGGAATTTCATAATAACTTTCTGCATGAAGCAAGGACCTTCAAAGTGTTCCCAACACAGTGAAGTCTATGTCTGCTTTCACTTCAGAAGGGGGGAAAAGCCTGTCTTTGGAATGTATGAACAGAAGCCACTTCACATTCGCTTTGGAACCCAAATTTACAGAGCTTATATGAATCAACAAAACCATTAAGACAAACACCAAGCAAAAGCAAACACAAATCCTTTTTGTGGAAGAATAAACCCTCAAGTCAGGCTTTGAAGAAGGTCCAAAATTCATCTTGTGACGAATCCAAGCTCACATTCAAACATGGCCAAACCCATAAAGAAAAAAAAGTGTCAGAGAAGTCATCAGAAATAACGAAGATCAGAATCATCCCTGCATGACATTAGGTTTTGGCACTGACAGAATATAAAATGTGTTTTAATGGATTTAAATAGATGAGAAATATTAAAGCCAGGGGATTCTTTAAAATGACAAGACATAGCAAAACTCAATGCCAGAAAGTCACTATCATCAGATCTAGGATAGCAGCTATTCTAAAAAGGGAAAGTATAGCTGTATCCGAGCAGGTGAATTGGATCTTTACAAATTAGAGTTTTGAGGCCAGTGATATAGCTCAGCAGCACAGCACCTGCCTGGCAAGTGCGAGCTCCTGAGCTTGATTCCAGGTTAAAAAAAACAAAATTAGAATTTTTTTTTTTTTTTTTTTAAGAGATAGTCTGCTTCTCCAGCTTCTTCATGCTCAGAGGATAAAGCAACAAGCCTCAGGCCTGTTGCTAAGGAGGATTCTCCATTTCCGGCCCTCACCTGTTTATGGGTGTTTCCTGCCTTTTGTTCCACCTGTCTATAAGGAGTGCTTCTGTGCATTGGAATGGGAGCCACACTAGCTGCCTCCTTAATTTGGTAAAACTGTGAATAAACTCCCTCCGCCCACCATTTTTATGGACTTTTCTCATACTGTTGGTTGTGGGTGTGCAGACAAACCCAGAAACACAAAGACTTGGGGCCCAGATTTGGGCCTGACTGAGCTGAGCCATGCTAGGAACATAATAATTAGAAAGAGAACATGAGTCGTAGTTTAAGAGTTTTGCCAATATTTTATCTCTTAATCTGTATAGTCATTCCTCAGACTCTTGCTTTATGACAAGTCTGAGCTCTATACCTCTCTTTTTGGTTCTTTCTCTGTAGTGGATTATATTTTTAAAGTTTTATGCTGGACATTGTGGTTGAAGGTTTTACCCCTTGTTTTCCTTATTTTTCACAGAATATAAAACTAATAAGCAACATTGCAGTCTGGACAAAAAATGAAATTTACTTTGGATATACTGAAGATAAATTTGTCAAAATGATAACTACTACAGAGCTGAAAAAACTTCTAAATCTTCCGCCAACTGGTACTTTGACCATACACAATATTGACTACACAGGACACCCTCTGGAACTGGCTGTGTTGTTAAATTATTGCATCACATGTACTGACACCAAAAAGATCTACATGGTGATATATAATGAAGACTCAATGAAGTGGGTACCTCAAGACTTCATATTAGATGTCCCCATTGACAGTTTCTTAGTTCCACGTTTTCTATTGTCAGGAATGCCAGAATTAATCCTATGGGACAAACATAAGGTGTACTACTCTTATCAAAATTTCACAACTATTGGAGTTCTACAAACATCTGCAGGACATGGAAATCTCTCAGCATTATCAAATGACAGCATTATTCATGATGTTTATATAGGTGAGCTTTCTCAATTCTGCTAAAATTATTCTAGATTTCATTATAAAGGTGTAGCAATTTTAACTGCTCCAACATACGGTGCCTTTGATGGCTAATGATATACTTTTTACCATCTAAAAATATATAGACTTTAAATACATCTGACATCAACTGTGATCTCACACAGCAGAATGACACACTCAACCTAATCCATCCCCATCCCCAACCCCCACCCCCATTTCCTTTTGGTCAGTCAGAAGGTACTGACTAAGCAATTCCCACATGCACTGTCAGTGGGGGAGGTGCTGTATTGTTAGCTTAGTTTCCTATGGCTTTCATAACAAAGTGCCACAAACTGGGTGGCATAAGACAACAGGAACGTGTTGCTTCACAGGTCTGGAGACCATGAGGTGCTGACGGGGCCACATTTCCTCTGGAATGTGGAGGAGAATCTTCCTTCGCCTCTTCCTCCTTCCTGGTGGCTTGCTGCCAGTCCTTGCCCTTCCCTGTCTTGCAGCTGCCTCATTTCACTCTGTCTTGTCCTATGCCCTTCTCCTTATGGGCCTCTGTACCCACTTGGTCATCTGTCATAAGGACACCAGTCATACTGGGTTAGGTTAGGGGCCAACCCTGCTCTACTAGGCTTCATTTTTATTAACTACATGTGTAATGACCCTCTTTTCAAACAAGTTCATCCTCTGAAGTGTTCCTGGAGACCAGAACTTTAACATATCTTTTGAAGGGACATAGTGCAACCTTTAAAGTGTAGTAGATTTATTTGTAGGAAAATGGACGCACCTTGAGACCACACTGTCAAGTGAAATAAATCAGATACACAAGCTTAAATATCACATGGTTTCTCTTATATGGGATAAAGAGCAAAATAAAAGATAGATAATAGGAAGTAGGGAGATAGATCTTTCTCAAATGGGAGAAGAATCAGGAGATGAAGTGGGGAGGGGAGGGGAAGGGTATGAGAAAAGGAATTAAGATGTGTTCTATACGTGTACCAGCTCCACACAAGGAGTGAAAACATTACGTACTGACAAAAATTTTAAAAGTGTAGTAGGTTTATGGTTTCTTTTTTTTTTTTTTTTGTACCAGGAATTGAACGCAGGACCTTGTGCTTGCCAGGCAGGCACTTATGCTGCTGAGCTACATCCCCTGCCCAAAGTGTGGTAGATCTAGACTGAACTATATTCAAGTACCAAAACAAGTCATTTAATCTCTCTGCCTCAGTTTTCTAATCGATACTGTAAGACGGCTTTGTGGATTAGTTGAGAGACAGTATGCAAGATGCTTAGAAAAATGTTTAGCAGGTGGCAAGCCTTCAATTAATAGTAGTTATTCTTGGTTTTATATTTCCAAAACAGTCTGTTGTTTCTGGGGAAACATCCTTTCCGGACTTCCTCCAACTTCAATAGCTGTTTCTCTTGAGCCTCTTTTCCATCATGGTCACCATGATTCCTAAATCACAAAGCATCTCAGAGTTCAGTTTTTGGAAACCTGAGCTCTGCTTATGTTCACTCCTTGCTCTGCAGCTATGACCCCCTCAGCTGAACTCCCTACTCCATTTCCAGCTGCTTCCCTGGTACCTTACTTTGCATAAGCAGGGGGCATCTCAACACACCCCAAATTGCATGCTTGACTCTTTCACTTTTACCTCTATCTGCTTCTTCCCCTGTCTTTATCTAGCAGATAGCAATTTTTTTCTTCTGTCTTTCAGACCACAAACTTTGACCTCATCCTTGAATCCTCCTCCTTCACACCCTACAGCCAATCTATTGGTGAACTGTGTTGGTTCTACCTAAAAGTGTATCTGAAGTGTGACATCCTCTCGCCTCTCTAGCCCTCAAAGGCAGTCGCTTTTATGGGGTCTGTGTTACCAGTCCAGCAACTGCATCCCCCACTACATTACAGTCCACCCAAGAGATAGAGTGACCGTCTTAAAATAAATAAATTAAAAAAAATATATATATATAAACATATTATTCCTCTACTTGAAACCCTCATTTGGCTTCCTGTCTCACTCAGTAAAATCTATCTGGTGCTTCATATGCTAAGAATGTTATTCACCTTCATAGCAGCATGACTTTTGTACTTAATTTAGGTTGAAGTCCAAATATCATCTTATCAGAGAGATCTTTTCTGCCCCTGAACTAACCTTTTTATTTTCAGCTTTAACATGGATATTTATTTCTCTTAAACCCTTTTCCGATTTCTTGGAAAACCCGAGTGGGCTGTATCTTTGTTCTCACCTACATGTGCAGGACTCTGCGACCATACCTTCATGTTCTTCATACAAAATGCTCCGATTTGCCTCAGTAAGAATACCATTCATGCCAACATACTTATAAGAGACACAGGAAGGCTGGGCAATGCTCTGATTCACCAGCTTATTGACATGGTTCTGGATGACGGCATGACTAGGGGAACTGAACCATAGAGTAGTACTCGAGGACAAGTCCCTTCCAGCAACTTGGGGTACAGCAAGGGAGAGCAATGATCCAGTGCTCCAGCTGACTGTGTAAGGGTGGAGGGAGAGCTGGTTATTTTCAAACTCCTCCCTAGATGGACAGAAACTGCAAACACAATGCTATCTACTTGCTAGACCTTCCTCAAGAGAAGAGATTTCCTGTTCTGTACCTTACACTTCATTTTGTTCACATCACTTACCACCTAAAAAATGACGAGTGCACTCATTTATTAGCTGGATCTCCTACCACAACGCAACTTCTCTGTGACTTTGTTATATCTGCTGCTTTAGCCAAAGTACAGTGTACAGTAAGCACTTAAATAAACAGAAAACACTCATTAAGCACTGACTACTTACAATGCATCCTGCAAGGGGTTCCAGTTTATTGGAACATTAGTTGATTGGAACACTAGGTGTAATTTTGCCTTTTCATGTTTAATTTTGTTAATTTGGATCTTTTCTCCGTTGATGAGTTTGACTAAGGGTCTGTCGGTGTTGTGTACCTTTTAAAGAACTAAATCTTTGATTCACTGGTGCTTTGTAATTTCTTTTTTTGTGTGTCTTTTTGAGACAGGGTCTTTGCTATGCAGTTCTGGCTGACCTTGAGCCCACTTTGTAGCCCAAGCTGGCCTTGATCTTGCTGGGATCCTCCTGCCTCAGCCTCCTGAGTGCAGGTGTGCAACACCATGCCCTGCTCATTAACTTCTATTCTGATCTTCATTATTTCTTTCCTACTACTGGTTCTGGCTTTCTTTGTTCTTGTTTTTCTAGGTTCTAGCAATGCATCATTATGTTATTTAGAATCACTCCACTTTTCTAATGTAGGCACTCATAGCCACAAACTTTAAGAATTATTGCATTGTTCCCCTACACATTCTGGTGTGTTGTGTTTCCATTATTGTTGGTTCTATTAATTTTCTAATTTTCCTTCCCTGGTTCTTTAACGAGCTACTGATCAATCAAAAGTGTTTGTGTAGTTTCTGTGGTTTCTTGTGCTGTTGATTTCTAGTTTCTCCACTATGATCTGATAGGATGCATGAGATTATTTAAATTTTTTGTATTTTTTAAGAATTACTTTATGGCCTAATATGTGGTATATTTTGGAGAAGGCTCTGTGAGCTGCTGAAAAAATGTGTATTCTGCTGTTGTTTGAAAGGGGCACTCTAGATGTTTGTTAAGTTAGTTTATGTTTCTTTGTTGATTTGGAGGGCACTCACAGTGATTATATTGAGGTCTATCTGTTCCTTTATGTCAAGCAGTGTGTTTCATGAAACTGCATGTGCCAATGTTCAGTGAATATATATTTATAATTGTTTTCTCTTGGTGAATTATTCTCTTTATCAATAGGTAGTGATCTTCTTTGTCTCTTCTAACTAAAAATCTTTGTTTTCTTTAGAGCTCCAGTTGTTTAGAGTACCATTTTCCATCCTTTTACTTTCAATCTGTGTATGTCTTTACAGGTAAGATGTGTTTCTAGCAGGCAGTATAAGTTGGGTCTTGTTTTCTGATCCAATCTTTCAGTCTGTGTCATTTAATTGAAGAATTAAGACCACTTATGTTAACTGTTATTACGGAAAGGTATGCGCTATTTCCCATCATTTTGTTGTTTTTCTAATGTTTGGCTTATTCCTGATTTTCATACATCTGTGCTTCTAATGAGATTTATTCTTCCCTGTGCATTCATGGGTATATTTGTCTTCTGTGTTTAGGATCCCTTTAAGTATCTTCTGCAGTGCTGACTTGGTGGTTATGAATTTCTTCAGTTTGTGCTTATTTTGGAAGGTCTTATTTCTCCTTTAAATCTTAAGGATAGGCTTATAGTTTCTACTGATCTAAATTGGCAGATTATTTTATTTCAGGGCTTAAAATACATCTTTCCAACCCCTACAGGCCTATAGAATTTCATTTGAGAAATTTGCTGTTATTCTGATAGATTTGCTATTATAAATGATGTGGCATTTTTCATATTCTTTATTCTGAATTTTTGGCAATTGATTATGACATATCATGAAGGGTTATTTTCTGGTCATGTTTACTTGTTGTTCTAAATGCCTCTAGTACCTGGATATCTATCCCATTCCCCAGATGTTGGGAAATTTTCTGATGTAATTCCATGAAATAGTTTTCCTATGCCATTAGCCTGTATTTCTTCACCCTCCTTAAGGCCAATGATTCTTAAATTTGGTCTTTCATTGTTGTCCAAGACCCCTTGACTATTCTGTTCATTGACATTTACTCTTTTCCTTTATCATTCTCTGAATGTTCTAGTACATCCACCTGTCTGCAAGCCCTGATATTCTTTCTTCTGTTTCGTCAGCCCTACTGGTGAAACTTTCAACTGAGTTGTTTTTGTTTTTGTTTTGTTTTGTTTTGTTTTGACTAAATGAGGTTTTCATTTCCAGAGTTTCTGTTTTGTTCTTTTTTTGGAACCTCTCTTTACTGAAATGTTCTTTTACATTCATCATTGTTTTCCTTGGTTCATTCAGCTGCTTATTTCTATCTTCTTTGATAATTGGTCATTTTACAATTCATTCAGCTAAGTTGG